AGGTGTTCTGCCATAGAGATGTGAAAACTAACTCATAAACGGGTGGGGCGTCGGAGATTTCCAGGGAGCCCTCCTTCTCTGCAAACCCCATTAATTTCCCAAGCGCACCTCTACCAACCCTTTCCAGATGGCCTCAAGAACCGGATGACTCGGGCTCCACCAGGCCTAGTGGCGCAGTAATGTCCAACCAAGGTAAGCTGTCTCTGAACTGCCTCCTGGAAAGCGGCAATGAAGCTTGGCCATGTTCTCACAGTTAAGCTCTCGCCGCTTTGTGCCAGCGTTTACCTAGCCCACACTCGGTCTCTGGTAGAGGTGAAAATATGACCTGGTTAGTAAGAAGATCTGTCACTGTGTCTGAGCATGCAGGAATGTCCCACCCAGAGGCGGCTCAGGCTCCTGCTTGTGACCCCATGCTCTGTATGTTCTGATACGATGTCTGAGGAACTATGGGCTGCAGGGAGCTGGGTGGGATCAGCTACACACATCACAGCCCAGGCTAAGACAGTTCCAGGAGCAGGAGTGACGGTCTTCCAGAGTCACCGGCAAGGGCTGCCTCCTCCACCACAGGCCCTGTGCTAAAACTAATGCAACTCTATTATCCCTCTACCGCGTAGAAGTAGAAAGAAGACTCCCTGGGTTACCCTACTGGAGGGCGCCATGCTTCCTTAGAGATATTACAGTCAAAGCACCTCCGCCCTTCAGGGTGGGCCTGGAGCTGGTGTGGAAGAGCCAGCACCCCGGGGTGCTCTGGGGCCTTTGTGTACATGGAAAGCCTTGCTCCACCCCTGTTCCACGGGCTCTCCTGCCAGACAGGTGCTTGAAGCCTCCTCAAGATCGTAATCTGTAGCTCATCTACTGCCTTTTACGCAGCTGTTCTGAAGCAAGGGAAGCTGTCAGCTTCATGGGGCTACAGTTGTCAGGGAAGCGAAGTCAGCTTTTGCCCTAGTTACAGAAAAGACGGGGGGGGGGGTGGTGGTGGAGGGTTCGGCATTGTAGATGACAGTTCCTTTTGCGACTGCTGTCCTGGAACAGCCAGACCTCCCTCCAAATGTGTTCCAACAAACGCCCTGTTTGCTTCCTCGCTGCCCTAGTGACTCAGGCAGGCCAGAAAGCCGGCAGGCCACAGCGAGGCCTCAGAAGATAAGGAGGTAGATCTCTGCATTGTGACGGTGACACACATCATACCGGTGTGTGTGTGTGTGTGTGTGTGTGTGTGTGTGTATGTGTGTGTGTATGTGTGTGTGTTTGTGTGTGTGCGCGCAGGGCAGGGTAGCTACTCTGTATAAACTTTCTTCCCCGGATTGCATGGCCACCCTGTGATGTAACCACTTGTGTTCCCACTGCACAGATAAATCAAATATGCATCTGAGGTCCTAAAGTCGGCGGCCAGGCTCTCCAGGGGCGTCTGTCACTCGGGCGCGCCATTCCCGTTATAGGAATGGTATGGAAACGGGAGGCTGAGGTTCTGAGGAGTTTAGAAAGGGATCCACACTTGCTCAGTGGATAAGGATCAACATCACCCGTTCGAGCTCAGGACTGTGCCTAGAGGCACGGTTTGGGAGATCCCAGGTCTTGGTTGAGTGGCAGCTATGCCATTTATTGCCTGGAGGATCCTGGAAAGCTGGCGTGTGCTCTGAGCCTTAGATCCCCATGAGAAAGTCATACTGGTTCCACAGAACCATTGGGAGGGTCCAGAAGGAAGCAGCATGTCCTGGATCTGGTCCAATGCTAAAGTCACATTTAAGATATCCCCCCCCCCAAAAAAAACCCCAAAATACCAAGATTGGAAAGCTAGCGCATGAGGGTAAAGAGTGAGCTCCAAAGAGCAAAAGTAAGTTCTCAAAAGTGTTGGGATGCCTGTGGCTGGGGGTCACATTCCCAATCTAACCACATGGCAGTGAGTGAGTCACTTTAGCACTGTGGGTCCCAGGGTCCTCATCCTCTGGGGTCAGGAGATTTCAATGGTGAAGTACAAGTGAGATGTGTGGGCTAGAAAGGGGCCCATGGAAAAGTCAGAGCTAAGAGATACTGATCTTGTGGATACAGTGGCCACTGTCACTCTTCCCATTCTACATAAATTGCTGTTTTACTGAAAATGCTCTAAGTGTGATCAAGACGCAGTAAAGCATCATCTACACGATGGCACAACATCGCCCTCCAGCCCCTTCCTCCATGTGGTTCTGAAGCAGATTGCTCTGGGAAAGGAAAGGTAAGGTCGTTAGTGGAGACCAGCGAGGATCTGAGAGCCTAACAGGAAGAGTCAGGTGGGGTGCGGACTCGTAGGCTGCCTGTCTGAATGCCAGTCCTTTGGCATAAAGGAGACCTGTGCGGACCCCTATGAAAATATCACAAGAATGTGAGCAGGTCCTCTGTAGGGGGAGGGCTCCACCCCCGTCCCACAAAGATTGCTGGGGGAAGCGGGCTAAGAGAGCCCAAAGGCAAGGTTCCATGGAGTGTTAACTCCACTTTCTCTGTTTTCCCATGGAAATGCCAGTAAATATGTCTGAAACTGAAAGGTCACTGGCTGATCATTTCTTCAGCACAGTTCCCAACCAAGAGGCTAAAGGTCAAGCAGCTCTGTCAGGATCACCACCCTGATATGGCTGCCCTGGGCAGATATTAGAAACCACATTCTTTCCCGCCCTTTGCTCTGTCTCCCCCTCTGCTGGCTACTAGGGGATGCAATTCTTATCTGGAATTTGATAGGCTGTAGAAAATGATTACAAATGAAAAGGTTATTCATAATTTTTAAATGAGTTAATTAGTAAACCCAGTCAGACTTGCTCATTGCAGTAATTAATAATTGATTATACTTGAAATTAAACACAATTTTTCATCAAAAATCTAATTAAATATCTGCGCATTTTTTGCCTGTTGATTAGATCAGTTGGTCTGCTGGAAAAGAGTCTTTGTTAAGGATATTTGTGCTTGGCTGAAACAATTAATTTGATCTTTAATAATTGATAGTTCCTTACAAGTTAGTCATCACAGCCTGCAATTAGGGCCGAGCAAGTTGCCCGTGTGCTCATTCTAGCCCTCACTGGGGGAAGAGATCGGATCCTAAGGGCAGAGCAAGATGCCCGTGTGCCCATTCTAGCCCTCATCAGGGAAAGAGATCGGATCCCGAGGTTACCACGGCCAGCCCTTGAGATGTGGGGTGACCGCTCCCCATACAGACAGTGCTTAACTCCAGCCTCACAGACATTATTCTGGGGAACCAGTGAGCTGTCTGAGGGTGAGCCATCACCACGTGGGAGTGCTGGTCTCTAGGACAGTCTGGTACCGAGATCATTCTCTTCCCAAGCCCTTGCTGAGTCTATGCTAATGACAGAGGGGATGCCCAGACCCTCTCCGTGTCTTCCCCAGATATGACTGCTATAGTCCAGCCTTACGTTCCTTATCACAAGCCTGTATTTACTCTTAATGAGCTCACGCAACTAATGCAATGAACCTCTGATTGGCGTTGCAAATCCTGCTAAAGTTATCTTCCACCTACGTCCTTTCTCTCCAGGCCCACGCCATTATTATCTTAGTTGGAGCCATCAACTTTTCCAGACTAGTTCCTTGTAACCACTTCCCAATAGCTCTGCCATCCGTTCCTTCTTCATGTAATGAAAACCTAACTGTGGCCTACCACTGCTGAGAGCTCTTCTGATTGTCCATCCAATAATGTGCCCACCCTGTTTGCTTCAAGGTGAGCATCACAGGCATCACTAATCAATCACAGAGGTTCTTTTTTATTTCATTGGAATATAGCCTCAGGATTCGTACAATGTAGCTTTCCAGGCGACAACCATAAATTAATTGGTAAAAGATATACGAATTGTACACCAGCTTGTTATGGAGCTATGCATTCTCTAAGTCTATATTCATAGGGGAAACAAGACCTGGCATAGGGGAGATAGTAGGATATTCTCAGGTATGTCACCTTCCTGACTGTTTTTAGGAAACCGAGGACCCTGTAGAGGGAGGTGAACTTAGAGTTTACATCATCATTTGAAACCTGTCTATGTTTAACACATTATTTTCATTTCTGAAACAAGTGGCGGTTCGTGTTCCATTGACCTTTTTCTATGATGGCATGGTACTGCCTCTCATGACAGGCTCACTTTGCATCTGTAGTGACAGCCTGCTAGACAGGGAAGTCCTCTGTCTTTCTTTGACCTCGGCTGGTCAGTTATAATTCTACCTACTGGCCTATACTGATAATCCCATTTACTTCCAGAACTCTCTCTGAACTCCTTAGCATGGGTTCAAGGCCTTCTCAGGCTAGGATCACCTACCTTCATCCTCGGAAAAGACATCCCGAGCTAAGCCAAACCCACTTTGGATGCCTTTCCTCACAGGCTTATTACCATAGAGGTCGCAGGCTCCTCACTCAGCCCACTTCTCTTCCAATTAATTGCTTTCCCAGGAGAAAATCAATCCCAGGAGGAAACCAGATTTTGCTAGAAATGTGTCCAAAAAATGCCAAGGAGAAGCCATCTTGCTGGAGCAGGGCCACAGGTCACAGAACTGGGGACTTTCTTACATAACCCAGAGTAGACTTGGGGTCGGGTAGAAAACTCGCAGCCAGTGTGGCTCTGAACCTCGGCTCCTCCCTCAGTCGGCTCCCCACTCCCGGGGGCCTGTTGCTTCTCGTGCAGGATTTCCTTGGGTTCTGACTGTATTTTAAAAACCATGACGGCTTCCACAACACACTATCAGCCACCCAGCCTGAAACCCACCCGGAGCAGTCCTGGTGGTTTCCTTTCACCCGTAGGCTCCTCTCCCGAACTGCTCCTCACCTTGGCCGTCCTGACCCAGGCACAGAGGTGAGGGTGCTCCTATGCTGTACGTCATGAACCACTCCAGGGCAAGGTTCCTTGGTACAACCTGCATCCTATGACCGTGTTGCTGGCGCGGTGCCTTTGGTGACCCCAGGTGCTTTGGTGGCCACCCTCTGGGACAAAGGGGCATCACGGGGAGCTGGGAGGTGGGGGTGGGGAGAACGTGCTTACCCACAAAGTACGCGAGCAGGATGACCAGGGTAGCCGAGATGACGATGGCGCTCAGGGCGGCACACTTCCAGTTGCAATACTTGGAGGGCTTCTTGAGGTTAAAGGCCGGCCGGGAGAAGGTGCTGCGGGGCAGGGGCCGGGGTGGGGGCGAGTACACGGTGCTAGACGTCAGGGGGTACCCTGGGGATGTGGTGCAGAAGAGCGGGGAGGTGCCTCCTGGCTTGAAGAGGAAGTGCCTGTGGATGGAGAGAGGCGGGAAGGTGTCAGCATCTGCCTGCCAACCAGGCGCCCAGGCCAACCTGCAGGAGAGACGCACGGAAGAAGAGACATGCAGAGAAGCCTGGAGAAAGAGAGAGAGAGAGAGAATCATCACAGGGAAGATGACAGGGTCAGGAAAAGTCACGAACCGGACCACAAACGGGGCACAAGAAGACACGTTTCCACAGAGCACTAATAGGACAGGAAGCCCCACCCGAGGCAGAAGGCACTACTCACTCAACAGAGGTTGCCCTGAAGTCCTTTTCCTGGGAACTGTGGAGCTGGGGTAGGGGGATGGTTCTTGGGAAATAAACTCTGTTTTCTAAAATCATTACAATAGCTTAGGGGTGTCTAAAGTCCAGCCTGTCTCCTGGAGGTCATTGTTATTATTTTTTTTTTTCTGTTGTTCTAATACCTGCATTCCAGTGCACCTTGGTAAGGCACTGGAAGCCCTTCTTTTTAAATGGAGCTTTGCTGGGGTAGAAGTCAAGGAGTCACCATAAGTTCTGCCCATGGCTGGTAACAATGCCCTCACAGCCTCAGGAGCCCTAGCTGCAGTGCTACTTGAAAGCTATGTGGAGGAAAGACGGGCAGCTCCATCCTGTAGCCCAGCCGCAATCTTGAAGGCAGTGGAGAATGTCAAAGCACATGATTGTGGCCGAATCATGAAAAATCCTGCATAACATGGCCCGAACCGTAGCCATGGGAGGACTTGTGCAAACCCTGTGTGGACTGCGTGATTTGTACCGCATGGCCTTGGAATCTTAGGACAAACCCACTCCTCACAGGCTAGAAGACATTCGGACCACAGAATATACACTCGAGGCCAGAATACGTGAGACACAGGGCCTGTGCTGTATAAAAACTGCGACATGAGATGGTTTCCAGAATGGCGAAGGCAGCCGATGGGAAGCTGAGAGCTGCATATTAACAAGACCGCTGTTAATATGCCGGGGGTGGGGGTGGGGCAGGGTATTCCAAGGACAGACTTCGCAAGTGGAACGTGGACTTGGGGAATGTTCATGCAACATGACATCGCTTCTCCCAGGAGTTCCCAGGGAAAGGTCTCAGGGGTTTGCATGCAAGTGCAGGGGCCACACGGAGAGCACACACGAAGGAGGAGCATGGGGGGGGGGAGGTGCCACCTACCCGTCACTGTAAGCCCCATCATGGCGGGAGGCGCTGAGAATGTCCATCTCAATGAGGTTGTCCTGCAATGTCCCTAGGAATGGCTGCTTGCCTAGGTTTCTACACACACATGGAGACATGAATGAAGCCATGAGTCATGCATGCATCGATGAAGGGGAGAGTATAGAAACAAATGAAGAGTGACTGTCGGGTGCGGCTGTGCGTGAGGCCAGCGGGAATGAAGGGTCCAGGCAACAGGTCGGTGTGCAAAGCCACAGGTGCACAGCATCCAGAGGGGGCGCTCTCTATACAAACCCGCGTGGCTGGAAGCTGTGTGTATCCCAACTCCAGTTCTCAGCTGGGAGGACTGGAAGGTGCCCAGCAGTGGGCTAGGCACATTATATGCATTTTCTCAAATTTCCAAACTAGATGCTATGCAAGGAAGTCAGGGTGATCCCAGTACTACAGATGAGGGCACCAGGATAGGGAACTGTAGTGGGATTCACCAAGGTCACCAGCAACAAGGTTCAAAGCAAGGATTTGAACTTGTTTATCTGGATCGACAGCCCAACGTTCTCTATTTGACTCCCTCCACATCTGCTAAAGCAACATCTGGAAACACCCACTTGACTTCTCTGAAGATACGAGAGCACCGAGCACCTGTGGCCCCTGTCTTCTAAAGAAGGAGAATATTCTGGAGGGTCGTACCCTGCCCAGGTCCTGCAGAGCCACAGGGACTCAGTTGGTGCACTGAGATAGAGCAACAAATCTGGATTTTTCTTAAGTCCCTGTGGATGAGGACCTGGTTAGAGTCTCACCATCCCTCAGCTTGTGTGGGAACAGGGTGGTAACTGCTTAGCAAGGAAGACAGTTCCCTGAAGACACAGGCAGGGCCTTTGTCCATGAGGGCAGGGCCATGCTTATGCATTCTGCTGACTGTGCCCCGAATGTAGCAGCCCGGGTCCCAACTGTACCTGCTAGGTGATGCCATTCGCTCTCAGGTGCCCTGGATCCCACTTCCAGCTAGTTTCAGGACTGCTGCCTCACGGTAAGGCATACCAGAGGGAGGAGAGACGGCAGCAAGCCAGCTCTGGGCTCTAGTCCTGCCAAGGAACCCTTCTGCCTCTTACCCAGCCTTAGAACACAGTATTCCAATGCAAAGACTTCTTGATGTGTGACTCTGGGTAAAAATCTCCACTGCTTTCCACCATTTTTTCTCCGTGCTGGTGACTACAGCACTAAGATGCTTAGGTGGCTATGGGGTCGCCTGAGATGATGCTCAACGCGATGGATGCCCTATCCTGAAGCCACCACACACGGTCTGCTGTTCAAGGAGCTCTGTGAGTGACTTACACGTATTCTCCACCCCATTCCTATCAAGTCAGCTCTGTCATCGCCCCTTTCAGCTGGTGGGGCACAGCTAAGAGAAGCAACTTTCCTGAGGTCTGATCACAGGGTGAGTAGGTGGTGAGTTTATCCCGGAACGGGCTTGCGAGGCCCAAACCTCAGGCCGTCTGGGCTGCAACTCTGTGTACTCAACACAGTTCAACTTATGCCTGCCACCTTCTCAAATCATAGAGAGGGATGTGGAGGTCCCGTGTCACTATCACTAACACCCCAGGGACAGTGGAGTAGAAAGCGACACTGTTTTGCAACTGGGATGTTGATAATGAGGCACTAGTGGGCCTTGTCCTATGTAGAGTCACCAGGTTCTGGGCCACCACTGCAAGGTTTTCCTGTCACGAGGCTCCCAGTGCCTGGGACAGGGGTTGGCAGTTAGCGTTGTAGATGAGAGGCCTGAATGACAAGGCAGATCTAAATTCAGGCCCCAGCTCCATCCTTCATCTGCCCGAGGCAGATAATCCCTCTGAGAATCTATCAAAGAGTGGTAACTGCTCACTTACACAACCAGAAGTGAAGATGTGGATCTTTTCTCTGCTCTTAACCCTCCCCAGCCCTTCCCAGGCCTACGAGATCTTACATGATCTGGTTTGGTTTGCTCCTCCAGAGTCATGTTCCTCGTACAGATACACTGACTTCCTTGCCTCTGTCAAACAAGCTAAGCCCGAGCTGTCTGGTGAATATTCCCATAGATCAGAACTCCTTCCACAGCAATGGCTTCTCTCCTGCTCACAGCAGCTCCCAGTCTTTCTCCCCAGCCACTCACTGACTCCTTGTGCTGCTTTAGTACACGTCCACACACACACACGCACGCACGCACACACACACATACACTGCATCAATCCATGTGAGAAAACAAAGCAGTGCAAGAGCTCAGGGCTCAGGAATGTTGATGGGAACACGGGGTGCTGGTTTGCACAGTATGTCTCTTCCAGTTCTATGAGGCAGTTGTCCTTTCTGTCGGGCTTGTTGCTATGTGCCTGGAGGAGAAGACTGACTGGTACACACATGCAGTCACTAGACAGATCTGAGCTGAGTGCTGCTGGATGCAGGATATGCAGAAGGAAGTCTGCCCGGCGTATGGCAGGCACATAGATCCTAGAGACAGCAGCAGGCGGTGGTTATTATTATCTCCTCTAGTCTCTTGTTTTGAGGAGGATTTTTGGACTCTCTGCATACTACCTCCCCTGGCATGAGGAGGCCCCACAGTGTCCGCTCAGAGGACCTAAACAGAGTTCTGCTGCCTTTCTGCATTGATGCTGGCTGTACAGCCTGTTTCTGGGAGCACTTGGGAGTTGGCCATCAGCCTACATTTCACAGAGTCAAGGCTGTACCTCGTAATCACCAAACATAAACAAATAAGCATGTTTTTAAAAAGGCCAAGAAATAAGACCAAAACGTTAATGATAGGATATTTCCAGTGCCCAGGTCAAGTGATTTGTATCTTTAATCCGTGTGTCTGTATGCATGTTCGTGTGTCCTGAGGCATGTTCATGTGTGCTGGTTGGGTGATAACCTTGGGTGCCGAGCCTTAGGCATCATTCCTAATTTTTTCCCCTTTGAGACAGAGTCTCTCGCTGGCCTGGAGCTTGCTAATTAAGTGAGCCAGTGAGCTCTAGGGATCATCTGTCTGTTTCCCCAGCAGTGGGATTACAGTGTGTACTATCACACCCTGAATTTTTATGTGGGTTCTGGGGATCAAGCCACGTCTTCGTGCTTGGAGAGTGAGTGCCTGCCTGCCTGAGCCCTCCCCAGCCCTATTTTAACATTTACCATTTAAAAGGAAACGTGTTTTAAAGGGAAGAGTGCTGACAAGCGTCACTTAGGAGCACAGAGCCGGAAGATAAGGAGACAGGCAACAGGGCAGAGTGAAGGATTTCTCCCGCTACCTTGTGATGGATCTTCCAAAAGTGCTTCTGTTAGCATGCCAACCTGGACATTCGTCATTTAGGTCACTTAGGGATGGGAGGACACAAACACTTGCCGGAAGTGATGGTGGTTCAGACTGCTGCTGCTGCGGTGAGACCACCTTACTCTGCGCTTGCAAAACTGTTTAGTTCCTGCCAATGGAGGCCTTGAGAAGCCCCTTCATTTTTTACTTATTTTTGAGACAGGGTCTTGCTATGTAGCCTCAAACCCACCATCCTCACACTTTAGCCTTCTGATTGCTTGTGCCCCCTCACCTGGCCTGAGAAGACACTTGAACGTGATCAGGAAGTTGACTTTGGACAGAGGCTAGATGCAAGGACTTCAGAAGACGGCCCAGGTGTTCTAGCCTCCCCGTGTGCTGGCTGTGGGATCTTAGGCAAGTCTCTTAATTCAGACCCTTCCTCTCTAGACGGGAGGAGGCGGTGTGTGTGCTCATAAGACCACTCATGCGGGAAAGAGTTAAAATGAAGCGGTCCTGAGTCTGCCTAAGACTGGCCCTCGTTGGTATCTGAGGTGCGGGCCTCAGGAGGGTTCCCTGTGTGAACTGCTAAGGCCCACTGGGCACACACTTCGTCTTCAACCTACTGCTGCAGCCATGTTTTTCTTCCAGGAGGCTGTAATTTCAGTATGTCCCAGGCAGAGGTAGTCCATATGGCGACCCTTATTATAACCTAGGGCACTGGGTCCCTACTGTGCCTCCTGCCTCGCAGCGTTCTATGCCTACCACGGTTTCGCTTGGGAAGCAGAGTGTGCCTGTTCTGCACGGCTGCACTGGGCACAGCCTCTGGAACCTGGAGCTTGGTTAGAAGCCCTCTACCTCACTCCGTAGATCTTGGCTCTGCCAATCTTGTTTCCCATTCTTCCCCGGCAGTGAATGCAGAGCTGCGCTCATGACCATATCATGAGCCCTGTTAGCCATTCCCCAAATCTGGAGTGGTCCTGGAGACTTCCAACATGCCATTTGTGGGGAAGCTGCGAGGATTAAGGGGTTCTATGTGGGAGGGATTCTCATTAGCACCTGGCAGCCCCCAGGGAGGTCTCCGAGAGGGTCAGTCATGGGTACGGATGCTCTCCAGCACACAGAATGATGTCATCTTCTTTGCTTGGTGCGCATGCTCATTTAAGCATCATCCATGGTGCCTGTCTTCCCTTCGCAGGTCCACCTCCCTCTGGGAGCTTCTTGCACGGCAGTGGCATTTGCCTTATATGGGATCTTACACACAGCTGAGATCACATCACCCAGGGACAGAGAAGACTGCCCATTCTGACTCTGCAGTGTTCATTTTACAGATGAACTAAGGAGGCTCAGGCAGGGTGGATGACTTTCTGGGCTCGCCCTGACCCATCCCTGTGCCTCATTTGGGGAACCACAGTAGGCTTGGCCTAGAGACTGTAGGGTGGCCTCATCCCTGAGGTTACATGGGCGGTTTCTCAAATTCAGTATGACCACAAAATGGGCTCCAGGCTCCTGAACCATGGCCGGGATGAGCTGAGGCAGAGCAGAGGTCTGGCAGCCTTCTGTTTAGGCTTTCCCCTCATTCAGCAGGAGCCTGATGCGTTATTAATCAGACAGTCCCTGTGAAATCAATTAAAAGCTTGATGCCACAGTCTGTCAAAGAAGTGGCTCAGAGGTTGGGGACCCTTCGACACATGGCTCCACAGAAGAACCACAGACACGTCTATAGGGCATACTCCAGGTCTAGGGAGTGCAAGTGGGTCCAGGCTCCTCCCTGGAGGACTCAGTGAACCGAGGGGATTGGCAGAGGTACAAGGGTATAAGAAGGGAGTGAGTCTCCAGAAGTCCCCTCTCGCCAGCCTTCTGCAAACCTTCTTTTTCTGCCAGGAGGAAATAGAATCTCTCCTGGTCATCCTACCAGCTGCTATGGGAAGCTGTCCCTTTTCAAGTGTCAGTCAAGCATATCTGGTCACCCCTCTGTCCCATCATCACTCTTTTTACCTGTGTGTTCATATTTTAAGCCCCCCACCGTGCTGTGACAAGCACTGTGTCTTGTGCTGGGGACCCTACAGTAACTGGATCACAGCGTGTCTCCCAGCTTCCTCTGTCATGACCATCTGAGGCAAGAGGTTGTTTTCTTTGCTCTCTTAGCACACAGTAGGCACCTGGTGAGTATTTACTGATAATGAGAACCGCTGTGAGTTAGTGGGAGCCCCTAAGATGGTTGGTCTCAATGTAACCGCTGGAAAAGTCTGATAATGGAGGAGGGTGGGTTAGAGATGGCTGCCAAAGCTTTGATTCTTCTCCCACTGGGAAGTGGGGTTCAATCCCTCTCCTCTTGAATCTGGCTGGCCCATGACAATGTCAGTCGACAAATAAGAGCAGAATTGACAATAGGCCAGGTCTAGACTAAACTTCTCAGAGGATCAACGGCTTCTGTCTCCATACCTTGGGACTCCGATGCACACAGAATGAAGGACAATTATCCCATTCAGAGGATCATAAGCAGAGGTCCCAAGGTACCTTAGGGATGAAGGAGTTCCACAGACAAGGGAAAGGCATGTAATGTGTGCTAAAGATGAGTTGACACTATTAATACCACGTGGAGCAGGAGAGCCGTACATCCAAGTCCTTCCCTATCTCCTGACTTTCCTGTGAAGGACAAACTACACGTTGCCCTTGTCACTAAATTGGGAGGCATTTGTCATGTAGCAGTGACAACTGGGACCAGAAACCACGATTGTTTTCAGGGGTGCAAATGCACAAGGTGTAGGTCCACTAGTGAGCGGTAGGGTGGAAGTTTGGGGGGGATGTACCTGACCCCGAGGACTGTGCCTCTCGATGATGAACAGCCTGTCACATTCTCAGGACACCAGGCCACACGTTTACAAAGCAGTGAGGGGACAGACCCTGTCCTCTTCCTTCCTCTGTTGGGAAGGGACTCATGGCTACTTTCTCAATGACTTATTCCTTCACAGAGTTGACACAGGGGAGCAGAGCTTTATGAACATACAAGAAATATCTCTGACAGTGTGGTTGCTCGATGCCCGGCACTGTATGTGTGTCTCTTACGTTTGCTTCTTTCCAACCTCTTGGAAAAAAGATAATTTTTATCCTAATCTGTCAAGGAAGAAGCCAAGGCTTGGGTATATTGAATAACTTGCTCAGCCAGCCGATGTGTTTAACGTACGGGTCTCGTGTGGCTGAAGATAGCTATGGATCACCCGATGAGACCAACGTTAACATGCAGAATTCTCATGGCATCGTCGAGCAGGGTTGGTACTGCTCTTAGTTTGGGGGCTATCTGTAGATGCACAGAGCTCTGGGGTCACAGAGGAAGCCTCTTCAGCTGTTCAGCTGGGCTGCAGGAGTAAGTAGGACTCAGCTAGACCAAGAGGTGAAGAAGAGGGCACGTCCAGTGGGCGTACAAGACCCGTGCAGAAGTCTGAAAGGGCACAGACTTGGAGAAGGCTTACATGCATGTCCTCAATATTAAATACATGCACTCTAACTATATATAATGATGGTGTGCTGCATGTGTGTTGATGGATTATGAGAGGGTGTGCATGCCCGTATGTGCCTTTTGGCAGATCAAGGTGGTATTTTTCTTCTTGCTTATCTTATTTGCTAGCTCTCTATGGTGGTTATTAATTATCTGAATGATAATGACAGATGAAAGCCCAGTTTCACTCATTCTAAGCAATGGAGACAGGAGGACAGAGGATCAGCGAGGCAGGCACGTTCTAGCCGATGGGCAGGGGAGGGGAGGTGGGACAATCTTTTCTTTTTTTTTTTTTTAAGAAAAAAACCTTTATAGTCCAGGTCTTTTATTTCTTTTTGTACATCAGGCCATGAATTCGTAGGGAATGGGCTCCAGCAGCTCAGGCTCCTTCCCGTTAGTCCTCACGAAGTGTGCTTCTCTGGGTGGAGCAGGCTGGCGCTTCAGCTGAACCCAGGTGCCCTTCTCTTTGGCTTCCTTTTTCTTCTGGTCGTTCTCCTTCACCCGCTTCAGGAAGCTGTCTCTGCTCTTCGAGTGCTTGATGTGTTCAATCCGCACATTAATTCTCTTGGCAAGAATCTTGCCCTTAACTTGCTTGTTTACAATGATGCCCACAGCATGCTGGGTGACATTGTAGACTCTTCCGGTTTTGCCATGGTAACATTTATGGGGCATTCCTTTTTGAACAGTGCCCATTCCCTTGATGTCAACAATATCGCCCTTCTTGTAGATTCGCATGTACGTGGCCAAAGGAACAACTCCATGTTTCCTAAAGGGCCTAGAGAACATATAGCGAGTGCCCCTCCTCTTTCCCTTTGTGTTTGTCATTTTGGCGAGTTACTGAAAGATGGCTACCGCGGCCGAAGAGGTGGGACAATCTTTACATCACATATTGACTATCTGGGACACCTCTCTCGGTGCCCCTCTCCTGCCTCTCTTCCCCTTGAGAAACTTACAGACTCACGGGAAAAGGTCCTACTTTGCTCCCCAAATGAACACCCAAGCAGAGAACAGCCTCCATGATCCATGCAGATAACCAGAGCCACTGATTGGCTGCTGGTCTCCATCAGCCATGTCCCACTCGATAAATACTGAAGATAACGGAGACTTGACTGGATACCTGGGGTGGGATGATAACAGTCCACCCTGTGATTGATGTGAGCGAGAGAGACATTTCAAAGGATGTGGATGGACAGACAGGGTAATCAAAAAAAAGATACCGGCCGGGGTGGGTCCTGGTAGGCTCACATCTCTGACAAACTCGGGTTTGGAAAAGTGGTTCAACAAGTACAAAATGTGACCAAAGGGTTGTGATTTTTCTCTTGCAGATCCCATGAGCTCAATGTGCTGATGCTGTCATCATGATTGTTGGGGGTCTGCAGAGGAGGGTGGGTGTAACTTTTGTGTGTAGGCTAATTTCCCTTCCTCGGGCGTGGTTTGGCTTTGTGGTCCTCACGAAGAACAGGAGTTTGGGAAGGGAAAACCTATGTGTGCCATTTCTCTCTCTCTCTCTCTCTCTCTCTCTCTCTCTCTCTCTGTGTGTGTGTGTGTGTGTGTGTGAGAGAGAGAGAGAGAGAGAGAGAGAGAGAGAGAGAGAGAGAGATGGTGGAGGAGGAGATTTGCTGGACCAGCCTGGAATGTGTCATCTATGATTTGGAGAGCAGAGAAAGAGGCGTGCCCAAAGCGCTCTGCTCGGGTGTTAGAGTGACAGATGATCTGATTCTCTTTTTATTTTCCTATGATTTCTTAAGTGGTTGCATGGTTTTTATAAACACGCACACACACACACACACACACACACACACCCCGTTTGGAAAACAGTGGCTAAGCATGGTGGAGGAAGATGGCGGCAGGCCTGAGCTGAAGGAAACACCCCATGGCAAATCCTGCAGGAAGGGAATGAGCCGCAGGGTAACAGTACTGGACGGAGGGTCTGGTGCCCTGAGTTCAAGTCCTAGTCATGCATTGTACCAGCCTCCTGTGTCTCCTGTGTGACCTGAGCTGGCCACAGAGCCACTGATTCTCACCTTCCCGAACTCCTGAATGAGGACATCATGCGATGTATGCAGAATACATGGAATCACCACATGCAAGCCTGTGCTAGTGATGCTAATGGAAACCCTTGGGAACTATCTGGGTACAGAAGGGCCAACAGACCAGGAAGCAAGAAGGGAAGGGGAGACTGACCTTCACAGAGTCCTTTCATAGTCCAGACAGGTGGGATGCTAGCCATAGAGCAATGAAATCACATCCAACTGGCTGAGCTAAGGACCCAGACAAAATGGAACCGAGTGCCTGCCTTGTCCTATACTCAGGCTACCTCCTTTGTACGTTTCTTGCCCACTTTTACAAAAGCCTTACCTAACTCGCTGCATTGCCATTGTGTAGACAAGGCAAGCAACGTCCATGAGCTTATCAACTTGACCAATGGCATACCTTTAGGAAGCAGCAGGCTAGCGCTGGGCCTCGGCTCTGGTGGAATCGAGAATCCCAGCCTTCCCCAGCTCTCTCCTACCACTGGAGAGTCCCAGCCCAAGACAAGGCATTTCCTATCAGCTTCTCCAAAGATACAGGAGGTAGAGACACCGTCCCTACTGCCCTGGCCACCAACAGGCCCTAGACCCTGGTTGGTCTGTCCTCTGCCTACCCAGCCCACCCATGCCCTCCCAGCCTTGGTCCACTGGGACCCACCTGGTCTCCAGTGGGATGTTACTGTTGAGCAGCCAGTTGTCCTGGGCATGGGTTGGCTCCTGTGCGCTGCCTGCCGGGGGCTCCCCGGAGAGTGAGTGGTCTGTGGGTGCCGGGCTGGGGTTGCTCCTGGGGGTGAAGTTGCCCCTGTTCAAGGAGTTGATGGAGGCCGCATGGTGCTGGTTGGGGGTATGGGCGTGGGGGAGTGGTGGCGGTGGCGTCCGGAGCCGAGGGTGGTTCTGCAGGCCGCTGGGGTGATCTGGGGGAACAAGCAGTCATGGTCAATGGGCTGCTGGCTGGGCGCCACCCCTGGCTGGAGGAACAGCCACAGAGGACTGAACAAGACCGCAGGGGTGAGAATGAATGTGTCTGGCACTAGCAAATTACACGTTAATTCATTCAGTCAAATTTGTGCTCCACGGGTACTTCTGAGTTCCTTCCGTTCTACATGTGTGTTGAGAGAGAGAGAACAGACGCGAGCCTGTGAGAGTCTAGCCGCCTGTGCTGATGACCCGATTCCTGTCCACAACTTCACTTTTGTCTCTCAGACTTTCGTGGGTTTTGTCTTTAGAGTATAGTCTCACACCTGTGACCTCCTCACCTGGGAGTGAGTGTGTCTGAGACGGAAGTTCTGGTGCCCTGACCCAGACTTACTGATCCAAGAACCCTGGGCTAAGGGCCCAGAATCTGACTTTACAGAGCGTCCCAATGACTGACCCACGCTTCAGTCTGATAGTCACCGACCCTGGGAACGGCGCATGGTAAATGAAGTTAGCAAGGTAAATGCGTGCAATTAGCAGGTATCTGAGAGCAGGCTCGTCTAAGAACACAGAGCCAGGGCAGAGATGACGTCTGTAGGAAGCACAGGTACCCACGGAGGTCTAGACCAGATGGCCTCCGGGAGAAGATGACATTGGGGAAGAGTGAGCTGGGTTGTGTCTGGGTGATTCAGAATTACCAGCATACTTACCGAGCACGCGCTGTGTGCCAAATGCTGGTCTGAGCCCCCACACCGATGAGGAGGTAGAGAAATCCTTTATTTAGTCCCCCTCAGTTACTCAGAGAGTGATGACAGACAGGCCTGCGGGAGACCTAAGCCACTCACAGAGGCCTCTGCTCACAGAGCTAAGCAGTGTGACAGGACAGGAAGTTGGGCGACTGGGGTCCTGTCTAGATTCTATCACTTGCTAAGCATAGAACCCCAGGTGAGTCACCTCTTTGAGCCTCAGTTTTCTCATTTGTGGAATGGGAAGTGCCTTTGGGACTGAGATGAGAGTGTTCCAATGCTAACAGCCTTGGCCGTCAATGGGAAGGAAATCCGCTAAGGGAGGATGTCCCATCTCACTGTATTTCTTAAGCATCTAACACAGATTATTGTAGTCCATGGCCAGAGGGAGTGGAAGTGCCCTTAGAGAGGAGCGTGGTGTCTGGGCTGGAACATGCTGGCTTAAAGCAAGATGCCTGCTCTGTGTCTGAGCAGGGACACCTGCCTCAGCAACTGTTTAGAAGCTCTGGATCATTGTAAAATTCTGCGGCAGTTCCAATCCATACTTTCTTTCTATAGATCTCATATTGGTCCGTCTGGCCACATATGAGATACTGTGGTTTACAAACACCAGCTTCAGTGAAGGCCACTAGAGTATCTAAGTTTTGCCAGTCTGTTTTTCCAGAAACAGCTTATGGCTCTTCTAAAAAGCTCCTTGGGTATATTTGGTAACTCATGCATATAATCCCAGAAGAAGGCTGAGACAGGAGGATTGTCTCATAGGAATCTGAAGTCAACCTGGGCTACACAGAATGATCTGTGATAGCCTGAGTTATAGTGAGACATAAGTAAGTAAATGTTTACGGTTGCCATGGTTCTCAAATATCATCTTTCATTTAACAGGTGCGGAAACCCTGAGCACCGGTGTCTCTGCTGACTGTCCCCAGCCCGAGATTCCATGGCGGTGCCCTTCCAGTGCTGAGCAGAGGAGCAGATCACAGAAAGGGACTGGGCCTTGCTGGCACACAGCTCTGAGTTCAAATTCTGTCTCTTCCACTTACAAGCTGTGACTGTGGGACGGGAAAGATGTTCCCTGCTTTCCATGCATGTTTTGATACGTGTGCATGCATGTGTGTGCGCACACATACACACACACCATGGCATAAGCATGTGTGCACACATACTGTGGCATAAATGTACACACACACATGTATAGGCACGCACATATATGTGTGCTCATACACAGGTACCCCATAAATAAATGTAAAAAATTTTAATGTATAATTTAAAAAAGAACCTATGATGTCTAACAAGTTGCTGAACTTCTCGAGTCATAGTTTCCTGGGGAATTCTTTCTAGAGATAATGGCCACCAAATATGGTTGTTTTGAGATTTGAATAAGATGCTTTATGTCAGTGCTCAGCACAGTGCCTGGCATACATCATTTTAACTACATAGTAACTATTTACTTTCCAGTGCTGCTGGCTAAACCCTGGGCCCCACGTGTTGGCAAACGTTCTGCTATAGATCTACACTCCAGTCCTGCAAACAGTAGCTGATAGATCTACTCTCCAGTCCTGCAAACAGTAGCTGATAGGTCTACACTCCAGTCCTGCAAACAGTAGCTGCTGGTCCACAGCAATGCTAAAGGAACATGAATGTATCGCCAACCCACAAAGCATTAGATGCCACCACGGGGCTGAGTCTTCAGCATTTACAACAGAAGTTCTAAAACAAAAGAAGTGAAGAGGGAGGACAGGAAAATGCCCAGCAGAAGGGCAGTGCCCTTCTCCTATGCCTGATGGATCCGGCTGTGACCAGTCCACTCGTTCCTGGGAGCCAGAAAAGTACCCGGAGCTCAACACAGATCAGGAAGTAACCGGAATCGATGGCCCTGTCCCTCAAGTGAGCTGCCTAGGGCTTCAGGTTTTCAAAGAGAAAGGCTGTTGGATGCATTCGACAGGTTTCTCAGGGCAAACACCAAATCTGTTTGTCCTGGGCTCACCGTGGACCCTGGAGGTCCCTATGGTTGGTTCAGGGGCTGATGGGTTCTCAGATGAAGATGTGCACCCCATCCCCGACAAATGTCAGTTTCAGGGTTGGCTGGTTAAGAAGAGTACAGAGCAGGGCCCAGGGGTCTCACAGAGCAGGTGCAGCTTCATCCCTGGGTCTGACAGGTGACATTAGGGCAAGTCACCACTTTCTCAGCCTCTAGCTACTACTTACTTAGCAAATGTGCATGCGCCAAAGGTGCCAATAAAAGATGGAGAGATGGTGGTCTTTTATAAGTTCAAAATAAAGATTCACAAGCATGATCAACTTGGAAATGCTCAATCTAGTTAGACAGCACCCGCTGAGAGAACTGTGTGCAGCCTCATCATACAAATATGTATTGAGGACTTACCAAGTAACAGACGCTAAAGGCTTTACTTAGGAAACCCTGCAACAGCTCCAAAAAGAAGAGGCTATTGTTATTCTTCACAGAAAGATCAAGTAACTTGCCCACATTTACACGACAGAGGGAGCCAGAATTTGAACTTCAGCAGATTGGCTCCAAGGCTGTCGTGTGAAATCCTTCACTCACGTTCATCAAGTGAGCCAGGACAGGCCAAGCACACCCAACAATGTCTGCCATACAGGGTGTATGTCACCTTGTACTCCAGCCCCTCCGGATCATCCTAGAGGCACAGATGTGAAGGCTTGACTCGAGCCCCTGGGCTCTAGGAGGCTGCAGGATAGGCGAGGTACGACCTGTGTTTGGGGGGCACTCCAGGCAGCAAGTGATGAGTGTGCACGGTGATAGAAGCCAGCTTGGCTGCTGGAGGCACACTCAGTCAACAGTATGAGTGGCTGTGAGGGGCAGTGGTGGTGGGTGAGGTAGGGACAATGGGACAGGCTGAAGTGGTGGCTGCCTGGAGGGAAGAGGCTAGAAAACCTGGTCATCATTGGAAGGGTAGGAGCTGGTGCTGGGGCCACTTTAGCACTGAGGCTGGCTGAAGATGAGGCAGGGGTGGGAGGTAGAGGACCAAGTATGGCCCAGGTCAATGGCAGATGTCTTCTTAGAAAATGAGTTGCGGTTGAGCAGGCCACGCTCATGAGAAAAGAAGCATAAACTTTCATAGCTTTGGCTCAGCCACGGGGCTCAAGTGCTGAAATTAAGAACATCAGATGGCTCCAAGAAAGGGTTCCAGGCCAGGTGCCCGCACACACCAACTCTGCCAGACCGCAGACAGGTAGGTGCCCAAGGCTCTCTTTGTGCCAGAGTTAATGATGACCCCAGTGTGCACAGCAGTCATTAATCGGGCCCCGAAGAACATCAGATACGAAAGACGATGGTATTTAATTATCATAAAACACAAAAACTCCAGCTGCCCAAGCATGCCAACAGAAAGAATTATTTGGCTTCCATTAAAATGCCATTGACCACCACTGGCTCGGGGTGGTGATGGAGAGGCGCTGAGACCTCTGCTAATGAGCCTTGGCCTGCAGGACCAATTTAGAGAGGCCGGGGAGCTCTTCGTCAGCGCAGCTGCAGCGGCATCTGATGGCCCCGCTGCTAATCTCAGTTAGGCCTCCGCGGTTTATTTAACTTGAGTTCCACCTTCTGTCACCTGGCAAAGACACGAGACAGTAACTGGCAAACTGTAAGGTCCCAAGGAAGGCTCAGAGAGAACTGCCATGGACCCTGATCTAAAAGCGAGCCCTGGTGTGAGTGGGAGGTGAGGGGTAGATCTCTGGGCGTGGTTTCCCTTCGTTCACTTTCCCCCTGTGTGAAATGCTTGCTGCTCACTTTCACCAAGGTCACTCCTGTGGGCAGCGGACGGGAATTCTCAGTCGTAGCTGGTCTGACGCACTAGATGGACTTAGAGAGAGGGACGGGCCCTGGAGGTGGGGCAGCCCCTGCAGAACTTTCCTTGCAGGGAGTAACACAGACTGGAGGTTGCAAGACGGCTGCTTGACTTTCTCACTGACGTGAGGCAGAGCAAAACCCCAGACTATGGCAATGCTTGGCATCATTCAGGTCGGAACAGTGAGGCAGCACACACCAAAGCTCCTCTGCCTGATACAGAGACTCCTACGAGGGGGCTGGAAACGAGGAAGGGGTGTTTCTCGGAGTCTGAGCGGCTGCCCTGGCAGAACACAGTTAGGAAAGCTGACGAATTCGGACTGGTGAGCCCATCCTTGGGACATGCGCTGCGGCGGCACTGGGAGGGTCGACAGCTACTTTACTGCTTGCTCTGAGCTCTAGACCGTCCTCTGCCCTTCTCTGACCC